TGATCTATTAGGCTGTCCGGTTCTTGGGAGTTTCCAAAACATCGGGGTCCTCTACGTAAGGATTATAGTATCGCCCTATTCTGGAAACCACCAGATATTATGTAAAAGTACATATGGAGTTGCCGCAAGCATGATGGCAGCTCCTTTCGAAAAGCTGTGCTCTGACCCTAACCCTTTTTGTGGGCAAGCTTCCCGCTGTCCGGCAGGCAGGAGGCAGTCCGTAATCTGCGACTAGTGTTAACATGAAATATAATTCTTATGTGATTGTTGGCACTTGTAGTATATGTACAGAGGACCACCCGAGTCGTAACAATGTTCAGTTCATATGCGGCTTTAAGTGGGGAGGTGCAAACGTGCACAATCATAACAGTCCACAGTGTCCACGCAGATTTGCCAAAATTAAGATGTGCTCGCCTGTTGCCACAGTTCATATTGTAGCTTGGAGGTCCGGTTGTGCTGCTAGATGTAGAGCACCTCTTCATGGGTAAGGAGGCTGTTTGTTACGAATTCCGTTGTAAACAGGCTTCGCAACATGCATGCTTCCAGGACTTCCGGTAGCCTGCATTTGCCAGGGGTTAGATGCGGAAACGTTTTCTTTGGTCATGACATCTGCTTCTGAGTCGTAACGGGCAGTTCTTTTCAGGAATGATGACAAAACTGCTATTGTGATGACTTTGGTGCTCGACTGTAGTTCTCGACCTGCTGTGATGTCATTGTGCTACCATCATCATGACAGCGGCGGGAGGCCAGCGTGGGCTCTTTCTGGTCAAGTCTGGGCGATAGCGACGTGAATCTGGAGCGCGGGCCACTTACAGCATGGCAGCGGCAGTACTCGTAGGCTTGAATGCCTCCGGTCACTGCGCGCACACAAATACTTGCAGCGGCGTTCCTGTTCATCTGCCCTGAATTGCAGAATCATCGTCACCATTTACGCTCAGGTGCCAGCACACCGTTGAAGCCGCCCACAGAGCTGACCTCAACAGAGACGTGCTCCTGGCAAAAGACTTGCTAGGGCTTGAGGCATGTCATTGTTACTTAGGGGCTTAGGCGAACAGTTTTCTTCCCGCTAGTTGGCCTAGTTGTCGAGCACGGTTTATAAGTCCTGGTCAAGCGTGGCGTAAAGAGGAAGCATACCTTCGCAGCTTGGCTTTTAATGAAACACTGGCATAATCCTCAAATGGCACAAAATCAACAGCGATGTAGTATAATGAGATCAGCAGGAAGCGCGCCTGTTCATGGCAGCGTTCCACAGTGAATGTGCTGCCCTTCTGGCCTTTCGCTTGGACGACTCGGATGGTTCACAACTTTCTCGCAAACGTTAACTTGTAGGTTTTGAAGCAGTCAGCCCTGGCAGCGTTCGCAACCAGGCGTAGCTCCCACGACGTGAGCTGCTCAAGCAACCGCTCGTGTCACTAGACCCTCCGTTGCTATGCGCCTTTCTTATGACTAGGCATCTTGCCGCCGCCTTAGAACTAGGTCTCAAGCTCAATCTGTTGTGCTCCTTGCCGCCTGCCAGGCAGGGAAGCCTTTCGCCAAGCGAAGAGAAGCTCTGTTGCTACCAGCGCCATGCTTGGATCCACAATGCGTTTCGTCACGCTAGGTTAGGGTATCTCGCGATTGGGGATAGCTTTGCAGTGTCTCTTGGACATGGACTGGGAGATGTGGAATTCATTCGTGATGCGTGTTTCAGTGGTACTCACATTGCATGCTGACACCCTTCACAGTAATTTCCTTTGCCAACGCGCCTGCTCAAACAAACTCCAGAATGTAGGCGTCTTTAGAGGCCTGGGCACTCTTCTTCATGCCTACGCTTTTTGCACCCCGTGACATCCGTTTGCGGCCAGCACCGCTCTTCCCGCTCTTCGTTCTCTACACTGACACGCAGCTACCCTCGGCCCGACCTCACACCTTGCAGCACTTCGCTGGTAGTGCGTACTTCATAATTCCTGGACTTCTGGACCTCGTACCCTGAAGCTTATGCCAGAGAGTCGCTGAACAGGTGCTTCAAGCAATTCTATGCTCGGTGCTGCTGTCAAATTTAGCAAAGCACGTTCATCAAACCTTATGTCCTTGAGTTACGGCTTCTGATGCATGTACATTATGTCGAGTTGAGTCAGGAGTTTGTGCAAAGCAGTTTCATCTGCACCTAAATATAATCCTAAACACCCCAACGCCGCAAGAACGCTGGAACCCCGCCCTAAACCCTGCATCCCACTCCCGGCCATGCACCCAGCTTCTGCAACCGGATGGCAGGTATGCCGTTGAAAGGGAGTGCCCTGCAGAAGCTGGGGGTGGATGCAAAAAACTCTGCTCCGAGGCCAGCAACGTTTGTTTCGTAATCCAAATGAGCCATAGTCTAAACTCCCTAAAGGGGGTTATATAGGGGGTTATATAGGGGACTACTATAGGGGTTATTCAGGGGGATCCTAGGAGTTTAGACAATGGCTCAAATGAGGGTGTCCCAAAATTAGGGTTAGGACTATAGCATTTGGGTCTATGTTGGGAACCCCGTGAAATTTTCTAATATGTCGGGGAGATTAGGATTTCAAGTTTACAGCAATCAGGAACTTCACCAGCAACCCGCTTCTGCGCATTCTTAAGACAGGATTGCTTCAGTAGGTTGAAGGCCCATTAACTGACTGTTTTCTCCAAAGTCTGCAAGCACAAGCTCCGGGTGTTACAATGCCTTACACCAACCTTAACCGGGAATCTGGGCTGTGAGGCATGTGCAGATGCGTGGTCTGAAGCCATGCGCAAAAAGGTGGAGGCCATGGCAGCACCACCCGCTATGTGATGGTCGTGTCTTCGGGAATGGAGTTCTTTCCCTAGGAAGGTATCCAACTTCGACGCAGGCGTCACGGCGTCATGTTTGGGATGCAAGATCCAGATCAGCTTCGGTCTGCGTAGTTAGTTTGAGAACAACTGGACGGCAGGTGCGAGGCCTAGGCAGATTTCACTCCCCCTGGGAGGAGGTGAAGCTTCACGAGCAACAACTGAATGTAACAATATCCATGAAAGAACGGGAGATTTACGGAAACCATGCCAAACGTGCTTGCTACACGTCTGTCAAGTCGCAGTTGTGTGAGGCCTTGCAGCAGCGCCAGATGAAGCTGGAACAGATGCGAGCAGCTGGGCAGCAAGCTGCAGCCTGTAAAGCTTAGTTTTGCGCCCTGACACCTTAAACCGGCAAGCCTTTAATGGACCTCAAATGCCAGATAGCGCCGATAGCGGGGTGGGGGGGGTTCTTCTTCGGCCCTGAACAAGAACCCCCCCCCCTTCTTGTTTGGGGCC